CTCTTTGTGCCTTTCAGTAATTCCTAAGTGACTCATGTAATTTAGAGTCGTTTTGTAGTCAACTTTAAACCTGTTCAGTCACCAAATATATATTTGGGAACTTTTTGTGACTTGAAAGTGACTCTTAGAGACTTTTGGTGACTGTTTAGTGATTATTGTGACGTTTAAGTGACTTTTGGTGCGACTTATGAGTGACTCTTGGTGAAATATAGTCATTGGAGTGAGTCATTTGGAGTCAATTCAGTCGTACCAGAGTCAGAGACTCTCAAATTGACGCTTGGTGACTCATAAGTGTCTCTAAGTGACTATTTGTGACTTAAAAGTGACTCTGCATTTTTTGGAGTCATTGGAGTGAAACATTTGGAGTCAAACTCCGTTATATCATAGTCAGAGACTCCCAATTGACTCCTGGTGACTCCTAAGTGACTTTTAGTGATGTATAAATGCGACTATTGGTCACTTTGAGACTCCTAAGTATCTCTAAGTGACTTTTGGTTACCGCTAAGTGACTCTGAGTCATCTGGAGTCAATGGAGTGGAACATTTGGAGTTCAATTCCTATTCATACCAGAGTCAGAAACTCTGAATTGACACTTGGTGACCCCTAAGTGATTCTAAGTGACTTATAAGTGAAAATTAGTGAATTCTTAGTAACTTTTTGTGACTTCTAAGTGACTCTGAGTCATCTGGAGTCAATGGAGTGAATTATTTGGAGTCGAATTTAGGTATACAAGAATCTGTGTCTCCCAAGTGACTCTTGATGACTTTTAATGACTCCTAAGTGACTTTCGGTCACTTCTAAGTGACTCTTGGTCATCTTGAATCATTGAAGTGCGTCACTTGGAGTCAAATCAGTCTTCCTGGAGTTGTAAACTCCCAAGTGACTTTTAAGTGATTCTTCGTCAACGGGAATCCATAAAGTGAGACATTTGGAGTTAAATTCCTTCATACCAGAGTCAGGGACTTCCAATTGATTCTTGGTGACCCCTAAGTGACTTTTGGTGACTTATATGTGACTATTAGTCACTTTGAGACTCCCAAGTGACTCCTAAATGACTATTGATGACTTTTGGTGACTTATAAGTGACTTTTGGTCACTTTCAGACTCCCAACTGACATCTAAGTGCCTTATACGTGACTATTAGTGACTTATAAGTGACTATTCGTCACTTTGAGACTCCCAAGTGACTCCTAAGTGACTATTGGTGACTTATAAGTGAATTTTTGTCACTTTGAGACTCCCGAGTGACTCCTGTGTGACAATTGGTATTTTATAATAGACTGTTCGTCACTTTGAGACTCCCAAGTGACTCTTAAGTGACTATTGATGACTTTTGTCACTTTAAGACTTTCAAGTGACTATTGATGACTTTTGGTGACTTATAAGTAACTATTGGTCACTTTGAGTCTCTCAAGTGACATGTAAGTGAATTTAGGTGATTTATACGTGACTATTGGTCACCTTGAGACTCCCAAGTGACTCCTAAGTGGCTATTGGTGACTTATAAGTGACTATTTGTCACTTTAAGACTTTGAAGTGACTCTTCAGTGACTATTGATGACTTTTGGTGACTTATAAGTGACTATTAGTCACTTTGAGACTCTCAAGTGACATCTAAGTGGCTTTTGGTGACTTATACGTGATTATTAGTGACTTATAAGTGACTATTGGTCACTTTGAGACTTCCAAGTGACTCCTAAGTGACTATTGGTGAATTATAATTGACTTTTTGTCACATTGAGATTCTCAAGTGACTCCTAAGTGACTATTGGTCACTTTGAGACTCCCAAGTGACTCCTAAGTGACTATTGATGACGTTTGGTGTCTTATAAATGACCATTGGTCAATTTGACACTCCTAAGTGACTCTGAGTGACTGTTGGTGACTTCAAAGTGACTTTTAGTCATCTGAGAGTCATTAATATGCGTCATTTAGAATCGAATTCAGAAGTACTAAAGTTTGAGACTCCCAAGTGACTTATTGACTCCTGAGTGATTCCTAGTGACTCCTAAGTGACCATTGGTTAGTTTTAAGTATGACTCTTCGTGGTCTAGAGTCAGTAGAGTGGAACATTTGGAGTCAAATTCAGTCAAACCAGAATCAGAGACTCAAAATTGACTCTTGGTGACTTTAGTGACTTCTAAGTAACTTTTTATCACCCACAGAGTCATTGTGGGGTCATTCTAAGTCAAACCAAAGCCTGTGACTCCAAATTGACTCACTAAGTTTTCTCAAATTTTTTAATAGCATTTTTAAAAATTGAAAAGTGCGAACTCTTTTTTAAGTTGGAAATTTAATTTTCAATTTTATCTTTTATTTGAAGAGATTTTCAAGTGAATTTTTTAAGAAGTTTCCTCGACTTATAAACTTAAAAAAAAGTGTCACTTAGAAGTCACCTAGAATCACTCAAGAGTCACTTTAATTTTGAAAAAATGTCTCACTTATTGGAAATTTATCATCAGTCATACAAACCTCTAACAAATTCACTTGAGAATCACTGCAAACTTCCAAATATTTAATTCCCAACTTAAGAATAAATTCAAACTAAAATTTATTTTAAAAAATTAACGTTTTTTTCAAAAAAATAACATTTTAAAATAATTAACATTTTTTTAAATTAAAAACATTTTTAAAAAAATTAACACATTTTTAAATAAATTTAGGTCAAAATAAAAGTGACGTCGAGTAAAAGTTCCCAGTGATTATATTTGGATAATGATGGAAGTTGTGTTGCATTATATATATATTGGTTTGCGAACCTGGTGAAAATCGTCAGGTGGTGCGCCCCTGGGGGTCCATCTGAAGGCAGCCAACTCTTGGAGTTTGCATTCATACGTATTGCGGCGGAAGGAACCATCGTATATTCCAAGATGGCCTCCACCTCAGAGAGGATTATTATTGGCTAATACGAGGCGAGAGGCTCCGCCTTGGCTCAGGGCTCGTGACGGGATGATTTATTGGATTTTCTGTCTGTTCGTCCCTGCAGCAAGAGAACATGCCGTGCCTATACTATAAAGGTTCGTATCCGTTAAAAGGCCTCTCTCGATGATCCTCTCCAGAAAAAAAAAAACTCCGATCCCTACACACATAGACCCATATTTAAAATCACATCAAAAAATTTTATCTTTAAAAAAAAAAACATCTTCCACTCTCAAATTCCCTAACATTCAGAATACTATTTTTAGAAAAAAATTTCTGTCGTGTCTTTCAAATTTCTGAATTTTTGAACTCTCGAAATCTTCTCTAAAAAAATTTATAGAAAAAAATCTGTCATGTCTTTGAAATTTCTGAATTTTTCAAATTTTCAACTCTCGAAATCTTCTCTGGGAAAAATTTGTAAATTAGAGATGATTTCGGTATTGAAATCAGAATTTTTCTAAGGATATCAAATGGAGACAAAAATCAAAAAGTTGCTTCGCAACGTTTTTTTTTTGATTCGCTTTTGTCTCCATTTGATATCCTTAGAAAAATAAATTATGATTTAGTACCAAAAATAATTGGTACTAAACACTGTTAGAAATATGTATATGAATTTTCAATAACATGTAAGTGAAGTCCATATCAATACGGGTGATTGAATTTTCAATAACATTAAGTTGAATTATCAACAGCAACTGTGATTGAAAATTCAATAACATGTAACTGAAAATTCAATAACATGGAATTGAAAATTCAATAACATGGAACTGAAAGTTGAATAACATGGAATTGAAAGTTCAATAATATAGAATTGGAAATTCAATAACATAAAATTGAAAATTCAATAACATTATTATGAAAATTCAATAACATTAATATGAGAATTAAGTAAGTTTGACCAGCATTGTGTATAGGTACATACACTGTAAAAATTTTTTTGGGAAAAATTCATAAAAATTTCTTCTTTTCTGTGAATTTTACAATTAATGATGAATATTTACAAAGATTGAAGAAAATAATTGTAGTTTATAGAGATTCGTTTTATTTCACAAAATATGTTTGATTACAAAACTATTTTACAAAATATTTTTCACAAACCATAATAAACAATTATGAAGAACAGTCATAAAATAGTATCAATATTATATTAATCATAACCCACACTAACAATAAAATTACTTATCCCTAGAAATTGAAATTCGTCGAAATTAACTGATAATACACACAAGTAGATTAAAAATTCACTATTGCTGTTCACTATTGTTCAATAAATAATTATAAAATATAATATTATAATATATTTATTTTGAAATAAATTTTAAACACTCATTTTTTATTTAAAACACTGTAAAAACAAGAAGAGTTTCACGCGCGGATGTAGTTCATATGGCAAATGCTGTAAAGCAACTGACGCTAAAACGACCTTTTGTCAAAAACTTCTAACAATAAGAAATTGTGGAAATTTTCCACACCAGATGTGACAAATGTATTGAATTTTCAATAACAGTAATGAATTTTCAATAACAGTATTGAATTTTCAATAACAGTATCAAATTTTCAATAACAGTAATGAATTTTCAATAACTGCGTCTGTATTTTTCAATTACAAAACAATGGATTTTCATGTTTTCAATAACAGTAATGAATTTTCAATAACTGCGTTTGTATTTTCAATTACAAACCAATGAATATTCACTTCAAGTTGTTTAATTTTCAATTCAAGCTGAATTGAATTCAAATTCAATAACTTATGTAATTGAAAAGTTGTTGAATTTTCAATTCTTTTCTAACAGTGAATATATAAGTACCTTTATTTTTATAATTCTATTTTTAAATATTGAATATATATATTCAATAGTTTTTCAGATCTTATTTCAATATATTTTCTACTGTCTAGAATTAGTAAAAATGTTTTAGTGACTGACTTCTTGCTTTTCAATTTTGATAAATTTTACTAATAAATAGTAATTATTCTACTAATTTGTTAGTAAAAACTAATTCAAAATCAAAAATTCAGTCACTAATTCAACTTTTGTAGTAGATATTTTTACTAATTCAAATTTGGAGAGTAATTCCAAATCGAAAATTTCCTCTTTATTTATTTAATAATTAATACTAAAGAAAAAATCTCCTATCATATAATCGTCTTTGGAAAAAATAATTGCAGTGAATACACTTGAATAATTAATATACTGTTTTGCAATTGCGAGATACAACTTACTTTTGTAGATGCTCCACCCCGATTGAATTTGTTTCATTAATTTTTATCGTTTTTTTTATCAGTTATGTCTATATTTGTTTTATACAATTTCAATCGGGGAGAATCAGTTTTTGAATACCCTGCGGGGGTAGAAATAAGATTCATTATATATATAGTGAACTATAGTATACACTATATATATATGAAAAGGTGGGGCTTGTTGAAATCAGATATTATGCATCAGGAGAGATGCAAAAGTTGTTCGTAAACGTCTCATTATTGTTTGATAATATCTTTATTAAAGAATATGCGGCGAGAGAGAGAAAAAGGAGAGCCGAACGAAGTCATCCTTATAACAGGTGTCTACGTGAGCTACTATCTAAAGTGGATTTCAAACCAGATGAAGGGTTTAGGGATGGATGCTGATGTGGATAAAAACGATCAGCGGTACGAAGGAGCCTAAAGGAGATTTAATATCATGGAATTTTATATCTTTTCCTCAAAAAAAAAAAAAAAATAAGGATGATTTATCTTTTGTTCAGTGAGTTTTTCGCAGTTGTATTTATAGAATTACTGAATTTTAGGGCTCTTTGAGCCTTAAATGAAACTTCGCATTTTATATATTTTTATATATAAATCGTATAATTATATTTTATATTTTACTGTTATAACTCAATAGTATCAAAATGCAATGAATTTGATATAAAAAATGTGGATCGAATAAAAAATTGACCCAAATTTTTGGCATCAATTTGATTCACTTTAGTATAGTATATCAATATGATACATTCAAATTTATGTTCATTTTCTTATGATCGCATATTTATATTATATACTTTTGTATTTATTTAAATGGATTCTAATAAAATTTTCTAAGAAAAATTGATTAAAAAATGAATTATAGTTATAATTTTTACTCTCTAAATTTGAATTAGTAAAAATGTTTACTAATTTGAATTAGTTACTGACTTTTTGCCTTTGAATTAGTAAATTTTACTAATAAATACATACTAAAAAATAGCAAAAATTTAATTAATATGAAAAACATAGAATGAATTTGTAAAAATAATTTAATTCTTAAAAAGTTTCAAATAAAAATCACTGAAAATCAAAATTTTTCATACTTTTAAGTTTTAATTAACAATTCTGTATAGAATCAATTATTTTGAAAAAGTTAATATCAGTTTTTTTTAAATTATTGGAAGTTTTTATTTTTTATAATATATTTATTTAAAGAATTTCCGAATAATCGATTTATTATTTATGAAAATAATTGAATTCTTGCAACGATCTTTATTACATTTTTTCTTAAATATATAATAGATTATAAAAAATTTTATTAAAATGGTACATAGATTTTGAAAATATGTGAATTTCAGCGAAAAACTTCATTATTCATAAAATATAATTGAATTCTTGCTAAAAATTTTCAAAAACTTTTTAAAAGTAATTACATTATTCGATGAATTTATTTAAAATTATATAAAAAATGATTGAAATCCTATACGAAGAATTTTATTATTAATAAAAACAATTGAATTTTTACAATAACGAATTTTATTACATTTTTTAAAAATAATTGATATCCTGTGAAGAATTTTATTATTTATGAAAATAATTGAATTCATGCAACGAATTTTATTACATTTTTAAAAATAATTGAATTCTTATGAGAAATTTTATTAAAATAATAGATTTTTAAAATATTTGAATTTCAGCGAAGAATTTTATTATTTGTGAAAAATAATTGAGTTCTTGCAAAATTTTTTTAAATATTTCTTAAAAATAATTACATTTTTTGAGAAATTCATTTAAAATTGTATAAAAAATAATTGAAATACTGTGAAGAATTTTATTATTTATGAAAATACTTGAATTCTTGCAACGAACTTTATTTCATTTTTCTTAAATAACTAAATTCTTTTGAGAAATTTTATTAAAATAATAGATTTTTAAAATATTTGAATTTCAACCAAGAATTTCATTATTTGTGAAAAGTAATTAAATTTTTACAAAAATTTTAAAAACATTTCTTGAAAAGAATTACATTTTTCGAGAAATTTATTTAAAATTGTATAAAAAAAAATTTTTAATTCTGTGGAAAATTTTATTATTTATGAAAATAATTGAATTCTTACAACGAATTTTTATTACTTTTTTTTAAATAATTGAATTCGTGTGGAAAATTTTACCACTTGTAAAAATAATTGAATTCTTGCGAAGGATTTTATTAGAATTTTTGTAAATAATTAAATTTTTTTTTTTGAAGAATGTTATGGAAACAAAATTAATTAATTATTTTAAGGAATTTTAATAAAATTCTTTTCCAAAATGCAATTATTTTCACAAATATCAAAATTCATCACAAGAATTCAATTCTTTTGAAAAGTAATAAAATATTTTGCAGAAATTAAATTATTTTCTACAATTTTTTTAAATTCTCTTCGAGAATTAAATTATTTTTATAAATATATAGGTAAGCAAAATTCTTTTCAAGAATTCAATTATTGTCAAAAATTTAAATATAATTCTTATAGCTAAGTTTCAATTATTTAAATAAAATTTCATAAAATTCTTCACATGAATTCAATTATTTTCATAAATTATTATTTAAATTTTTTTCAGGAATTCAATTATTTTCATAAATTATTATTTAAATTTTTTTCAGGAATTCAATTATTTTTAAAAATAATAAAATTCTTCTAAAAGTTTTCAATTATTTTCAAAAATTGTTTTAATATCCTTTAATATAATAAATTTCAGTAAAAAATTGAATTGAATTCTTTAAAAGAAATCAATTATTTCCAAAAGTTTTTAATTAAAATCTTCGTGAAAATTAAATTTTAAAAAACATTCAATTATTATTGAATAAATTTTTTATTTTTGTATTTAAATAATTGAATTTAAAATATTTGAAAATCTTAACTCCTTTGGAAAAATAATAATGATCAAATATTTATTTAAAAAAGAAAGTTATTGATATTTTCGAATAAATTTCAGAATATTCTTAAGGATTTTATGATCCCATATTTATATATATATATATATACACGGAAAAAAATGTATAGTAATTTTTACTACTTTTATAGTAAAACATTTCTGGTAACTTTTACTATACTTTCGGAGTATAAAATTTGCTACGTTCGAAGTAAATTTTACTAATTTTTTACAAATATGTTTTTTGAACGTAGTAAAATTTACTTCGAACGTCGGAAAATTTACTCCGAAGGTATAGTAAAAGTTACCAAAAATGCTTTACCAGAAATGTTTTACTAGAAAAGTATAGTAAAAGTTACTTTATATTTTTCTCCACGTAGGGTCATTTGGAGTAAATGTAAACAGTTAATTTTTCAGATTAATTTAAAGATTTAAAATTAAGAAAAACATATTATGTTTTTTTGTATTTAAAATTTTCTTTTTGTTTACAAGAGAACAAATCCTTAGGACCAGATATTACATTTGTTTTTCGTGTGTGATTGCAGGTGCATCATACATGAGAGATTGACGCTGATGGGTCAAGTTGAGCATTAGTTGAAAAGAGTTGAGAAGAGGATGCTGTAAATCTGATGGAAAAGGATAGAGAGGATGTTAAGTGAAGAGAAATGAGAGGTGAGCGGTAAAGAGGGGAAAAGCTTCTCTCTCTGTCTCTCTCTCTCTGTTACCGTGAGAGATATACAGAAATCGGAGGGAGGATGGCAGTCAGAATTTATGGCCGCTTTATCACTTTACCGGCCTTGCCGCGTCTCCTTTAGCCACGATGAGGGCAGGATCTCACGATGAACTTTGGCACTCGACTGTTCGCTACACTCGAGAAACGGTGAGCCTGCAACTTTCGTGTTTACTCGCAACTTGTGGTAGATTACATGTGCACCTGTTTTCTCTCTTCCTCTTTCTCTCTCTCTCATCTCTATTTCTACTTCCTTCTTCAACCCCAAACTATACTCGATTTCCCTCAAAATTTAGTTAACCAAGATTTAATCCATTTAAAAATTCACACCTCTCTGCTTTTAAATATATTGCTCACGAGAATTTATATATTTTAACGAAAAATATCTCTTGAATAATAATTCAATAATAATAATAATAAACAATAATAATAATAATAATAATATTAATAGTAATAATATTAATAGTAATAATAAAAATATTAATAATAATAAATTAGTAGCTGTTCAATTATTGTTTACCAGAGTGTCTACTAACCGGAAAAATAGGGAAATCGCTGGGAATTTAATTTGACCAGGAAAAATCTGGAATAAACCAAGAATTTTTTGCTAAACCAGGAATTTGTCGCTAAATTAAAAATATTTTTATTATTTTAATTTGTTTTTTAAAAAATCGCTTTTTATTTCAATTTTTATAGATATTTATACTGTTCTCTATAAATTTGAATTAGTTAAAAATAATTAATTTGATAGTAAAAAATCAGTCACTGATTCAAATTATGGTATGTAAATATATTTTTAAAAAAATTATCGAATTAATAGAAATTTTGTGAAATTCAACTGAAAAAAAAATTTAATTTGTTAAAAAATTTCATTAAAAACTTTTTAACAAATCGAATTTTCAAACTATTTCAATTTAATAATTGATAAATAATTGAATTTTATAAAGAGTCACATTCTAATGTATTCATATTTCTTAGTGCGAAGATTAATAATTGAAATTTTTATTAATTAATTTAAAAAAAGATACACAATTAAAATTTGTAATAAAATTGAATTTTCGCAAAGTTTTTTTGAAAATTCTGAAACAAGATTTTTGAAATTTTCCAATTCTGTTGTTTCAAGATAATTGAATTTTTAGAAACAAATAATTGAAATTTCTTTGCATTCTATTTAAAATAATTAACTTCTTTTAAAGAATTTTATTTAAATTTTTCGAAAATAAAAGTTAGTCACCGTAATTGCAATTTTATTTTTAAAAATTTCTTTGAAATATATTCAATTATTTTCATAAACAGTAAAACTCATTGCAGATTTTCAATTATTTCTAATACAATTCTAATCGAATTTCTCGAAAAATGTTATTAAAATTAATCGAAAGAATTCAATTATTTCCATAAATAGCAAAATTCTTTTAAATATTATTTTTAAAAAATATTATTCACAAGAATTCAATTCCATATAATTCTAAAAAAAACAATTCAATTATTTTCAAAAAGATAATAAAATTCTTCGCAGAAATTCAATTTTATTTAAAAATTCTTTTTAAATTCTCTTCGAAATTTCAATTATCTTTAAATAAATAATTAAATTGTTCTCCGCAATTCAATTATATTCGAAAATTTTAATAAAATTCTACGCAAACATTTCATTATTTTCATAAATATGTAATAACACTTTTTGGAAGGATTCAATTATTTTTAGAAATAGTAAAATTATTTGCAGAAATTCAATTAGTATCAATACATTTTAATAAAATTGAATTAATCAAATTTTCAATTATAATTATGAACAGACAAGACTATTTTTAAAAATTGAAAAAATTCTTTGTTTAATTCAATTATTTTCCAAATTTTTAATTAAATTGATTAAAAAAACATTATTTTTAAAAAATTTAAAGAAACTCGTCAAAAGAATTTAATTATTATTCATAAAAACTCTATTTTAAATTTTTTAAATAAATCATTTGTAGATTTATTAATGTTCGAAATCAAATAAATTTAAATTTTATCAGAAAAAAATCGGGAAAAATCAGGACAAAGCCGGGAATTTTGTTGAACAAAAATAGTAGACACCATTACGAATAATTGAAAAATTAGGGATTATTATGTAATCATATAGATACAATAAAATCACATTCAATAAAAAATAGAAAAATCTGAATTATTCCAGAGATGATTATATTCAAAAAATCAGAATAAAAAAAGAATAAAAAATTTAGATTAGTTATAAATAATTCCAGTTTGTAAGTGAAATAATTTTTATTCCCTTAATGATCGTTAAGGATATGTCAATTGAAACGATGACGTGGTTGTAATTATATAACTAATTTTAATTTTAGTTTCGATTTTCGACTATTAGAAATAATATGCACAACCAGTATAGTAACATGACTTTTATATATCTATACAGTATTAATTATTCAAAAATTGTTTCGATAGTTAGAAACTAATTGTGAAAATAGTTTAGAATTTATTAGCCCGATGTATATATATATAGACAAAAACGTAATTATTTAACAGTTTACTGGGTTATCTATTATTTAGTAAACAGGCAGGACAGTTTATTTTGTCATGACATTTATTTATCAAAATTTATTTCTATTTTTTCCAAATATACAATATTTAGAGAAAAAGAAAAGAATTTTTACTGTATATATTATATAATTATATGTATATACTGAGGGGTGATTTATAGGACACGCCCAATTATTATATTAAATTAGGATCAAAAATTTTTTTCAATTATTTTGAAAAATTATCCTAAATTCAGTGATTTTTAATAACTACAGTTTTTAAAAAATTTTCCAAAAGAATTCAATTGTTAAAAAAGAATTTGAATACCTACAATTCTACGCAAATATTTAATTATTTTCATAAGTAATAAAATTGTTTACAGGGCAGGGACTCAATTTTTTTCATAAATAATAAAACTCATGGCAGAATTTCAATTATTTTTAATACAATTTTAATCAAATTACTCGAAAAATTTAATTATTCATAAAAATTTTATTAAAATTCGTCAAAAGAATTGAATTATTTAAAAATTTATGGGTAAAATTCAATATGAGAATTTCAATTTTAAGAAACATTTAATTATTTAATAAATTATTTATTTTTGTATTTAAATAATTGAATTCTAATAGAATTTTCTAAGAAAAATTAATTTAAAAATTAATTTTAGATAAATGCAAATAAAATGTAATAGAACATTTTTTTGAGTATTCAATCATTTTTAGAGTGAATTTTATTCTTTAGGGTCAGGGAAAAAGTAAAAAGCAATAAAGATATTTATGATTTTAGGCAGTGCAGTTTTAGTTCTTCAAAAATCAGTAGTACAAGTCATTTATAGTCAGACATCGCGGATTAAATACAAATAATTTTAATTTTAGTGTAGTAAAAGTATAAACACCATATATCATACTGGGAATTTTTTTTTTAAATTTGATTCGATCTTTTAATTTTCAGTAGTAAAATATCTTTTACTAATATCTTTTTAAATAATCTCAGACGAAAAATGTTTCAATTAAAAAAATTCTGTCTGATTAAAATTATCATTTTAATCAGACAGAATTTTTTTAATTGAAACATTTTTCGTCTGAGATTATTTCATTAAACATTTGGTTTAGATAGTAGATTTTTGTCTGTCTTGCTAATTTTTTCAAATATCCAGCAAGTAGTAAACTATATTTCTAGTCAGACCGTCTTTTTCACTATCAAATTTTTATCTTATAGTAAAATAAATTTTCCAAAATTCGAAATTTCATTAAAATTGTGCATTTTATTTTGAAGTATACCTATATATAAATGCAAGCGTTTCGAAAAATACAATAATTTTTTTGCATATAATTACGCGCATTTATGATACGCTCCAAAGAAGATTAACAAAAAAAAACAGAAAATTTTTGTTTTTAATTTTTGAAACAAAATAAAAAAATCAGGGGATTAAGTTTTAATAAGTATAAACCATAGTGAAATTTAAGTTCTTTACAGACCTGAAAAAAAGAGGAGAAAACGTCAACTAAAATTTAAAATAGATTTTTAAATATTGTTAAAATTGGTCTTTAATCCATTATTATTATCGCAAAGGTATCCATTTTCAGCAAAGAATTCTACTTCGACATCGTTGAATTCATCTATGCATGTGCGGTTGTGCATTCATCGCTGTACTGTAAAGAAGTTAAACAATTCAAAATTTAATACAAAATAGAAAAAAATTTAATTCTATATACAAAATTGCATACTAGTTTGATACTAACATTTTCCACGAAAGTCAAGTTTTCTTTTTCGCATCTTCCACTAGGAGATTTATGATCCTTTAAGTTAGTTGAATTTGAAGTTGCAGTCGAACTTTGAGTTGACGTTGAAGTTGGAATTGTAGTTGAAGTTGGAGTTGAAGTTGTAGTTATAGCAGTAGTCTTAGTTAAAGTTGGAGTTGTGACTCTATAAATTGGAACTATCGGACCTTCTCCCTCACTAATACACTTTCCTTCATGACATAACTAAAAAATAGAAAAGATTGTGTAAAATTTATAAAATATTTATCTTCATAATTTATTAAATTATTTTTTTTTAATTAATTATGTATTTAAAAATTTTGTAGTTAATATATTATACAAATTTTGTAAGATTCAATTACATATGATATCATGAAGTAATAAATAAACAAATGGACAAAATATTTATAAAATAATCATATTTATGAAATTTTAATTAATTTAGAAAAGTAATATTTCTTAGTGGCACAGAGTAATTTAATTCATAAAAAATTGAAACTCATTTTATTTGTAAATTAACTCTAAAAAACGAAAATTAATATATTAATCAATTTTTTAATTTAAATATTGTTAAAAATGGTCTTTACTCCATTATTAGCGCAGGAGTATCCATTTTCAGCAAAGAATTTCACTTCGACATCGTTAAATTCATCTATGCATGTAGTTGTGCATTCATCGCTGTACTGTAAAGAAATTAGACAATTTGAAAATTTAATACAAAATAGGAAAAAATTTAATTCTATATACAAAATTGCATACTAGTTTGATACTAACATTTTCAACGAAACTCATGTTTTCATTTTCACATCTTTCACTAGGAGATTCAAGATTAAACTTCTTATAAATATTTGGAGCTGAAGTTGAAGTTTGAGTTGGAGCTGTAACTTTATAAATTGTAGGACCTTTTGCAGTATTAATACACTTTCCTTCATGACATAACTAAAAAATAGAAAAGATTATGTAAAATTTAAAAAATATTTATTTTTATAATTTATTAAATGTATTTTTTTATTTAAATTTTATTTTAAAATTTATATATATATATATATATAAATTATGTAATTTTCAATTGCATATGATATCGTGAAGTTATAAATAAACAAATGGACAAAATATTTATAGAATAAGCATACATATTAAATTTTAAATAAAATTAAAAAAAAAACTTTTCTTTGCATCACAGTGTAACTTATTTTATAAAAAAGTTATTAACTCATTTTATAATTGTAAATTAACTCTGCAAAAAAAAATTATTATATTAATAAATTTCTAAATATTGTTAAAATTGGTCTTTACTCCATTATTATTATCGCAAAGGTATCCATTTTCAGCAAAGAATTCTACTTCGACATCGTTGAATTCATCTATGCATGTGGTTGTGCACTCATCGCTGTACTGTAAAGAAGTTAAACAATTCAAAATTTAATACAAAATAGAAAAAAATTTAATTCTATATACAAAATTGCATACTAGTTTGATACTAACATTTTCCACGAAAGTCAAGTTTTCTTCTTTGCATCTTTCACTAGAAGTTACCGGATTTTTTATGTTATTATTAATACACATTCCTTCATGACAGAACTAAAAAATTGAAAAAATTATGTAAAATATATTGTAGGCAATATTTTATGTCAAAATGATACCTACTCCAGTTGTTTTGCAATTAGATCCATCTGTAGCGTAAACAATTTTTTTTAATTCGTAGCCTCTTTTATTGGATATGTCACTTTTCATTTCACAAACAAAAATGCAACCTTCGCTAACCTAAAAACGAGAGAAAACAAAAATGAAGCATACGAAAAAAATCGAATTAAATATTTATAACATTGGATTTATTATATAATAGAACTAACTTCAAATGCCAAAGACATTCCATTCTCTTGACATTTTTCCCTGTTTAATTGCATCTGAAATATATGAAATAAAAAAAATTAATCATTTTATCAAGTTAATGTATGATGACAATGATAATAATGATAGGGATGATAATATTATGACAATTATAATATATGCCACAATGAACAATATTTTTTACATTACTCATATTATTACATTTTTAGAAACAATAGGATGAAATGCTTCTAACAAACGATGAATTGATGTATTATTCAACTTAATGCACGATCCATTTAAACAGGACTAAAATATAGAAAAGATTATTTATAATTAATAATGAAATTCTAATTTAAATTCTAATGTAAAAAATGATTCATCATACTCCATTGTTACTGCAAAAAAAACCATCATCAGTTTTCATTTCCCTAAAGGTATCAGCTTTTTGAAAGAAAGGTGCATTATTGACTTTGTAATTATTATTCCTTTTTTTACAAACAAAAGAGCATCCATCGTTAAACTATATAAAGACAAGAGAAAATAAAAATGAGGCACACAGAAAATGAATAATCGAAATAGATAAAAAATAAAAAGATTAAATTTATAATCAATTTTATACTAACTCCAGATTCCCATGACATGCCAATCGTTTCACATTTTAAATTATAATAGTTTGACTGAAAGATGTAAATAATATATTATGAGTACTTATATAATGATTTCGTCAGGTAAATATATATATATAATGTCGATGATAATAAAATAGAATGAAATTTCTTCTTTTTGTTCTAGAAAAATCATGAGAATATTAGTTAATAATCATTATATTACATTCGATCAATTTTTAAAACTTTGTCAGCCATATTGGATCCGACATTTTGAATTTTCAAAAACGGATTTTAGATTCATAATCAACGACCCAAAAAAAACCCCATGTAACAAGTTTTAAGTGAATCCGATCAATTTTTAGAGATTCGTCCGCCATATTGGATCCGCCATTTTGAATTTTGAAAAAATGATTTTATATTGAGCAATTCCATATGAAATGATTGACGATTTTTTTATATTGTTAGCAATTTTCTTGAAACTTTTTTTCTTTTTTGAAAATATTCAAATTTGAAAATTTATGTACTAATTTGTTTAAATTAAGATAACATCGGTTATTTTCAATATTTTTCAAAAAAAAATTTTTTCAATTTCTCAGTAGACTTAATACTTTTTAAATAAATTTTTTTAAAAAAATAATTTTCATTAATTATCAAAATATTTTTTTTTATTTTTTGAAAAACACCCCCCCCCTCCGATTTAAAAAAAATTTTTTTATAGTGATAGCCACAAGTAATAAGAATTTTTTCTTGATTATAATAATATAATATAATAATAATAATAATAATATAAATAATAATAATATAATAATAATAATATAATAATAATAATAATCTATATATGTATAATTCTAATGTTATCAAAATGATGATTTTTAATTAGAAAAAATATTTACCTGCCCCATGCATGTATATGATGCAATGAGTGTAGAAATTAAAATATAGTCGTAAATCATCATTTTCTTTTCACTAGTACTTTTTTTGCAAATGCCACGTTGAAGAATGCCTTAAATTCTATAGAAGCAAATAATTTTTTATTCTGAATGTCATTCTCAATGTCATCGCTAAAATAAAGTATATATATTAAAATTATCATAATATTTATATGAGCTACTAACCAATGAGAAATACTATATAGAATCACGTTAGTTTGGAAGAAATATAAAATAACTTTATTACTGGAAGATAGAAAAAATGTACACGTGCAACAAGAAAGTATTTCAGTTTGATAACTCATGAAATAAAAAAAAAAAATTTTAATTTAGCATCATATGGAAAAAATACCTGAAAAATAAAATAATGTAGTTAAAAGATTCTTTTTTTGTTTATTTTTGAGTATGTTTTTGGATCTTTTCAGGATGTTTTGACAACAATTTTGACAAATTGATTTTTGAAAGACATAAATACTGGAAAAAAATTTTGTAATTCCATATCGCTTTTATTTTTCTTTTTTTGTTGCAATGAATGTTGAGGATTAAAATTATTTAACATTATTATTTAGCAATGTTATAAACAATTTTATAAACAAATTAAAAATTAACAGCAATTGAATAGCTGAAAAATAGTATCTTCTTCCACCGACTCTTTTTTGGTTCTCTTAATGAATATTTGAGATAAAAATTATTGACCACAATTATTTAACAAATATTTCTATAATGTTATAAACAATTGTTGTAAACAAAGTACATATTAACAAACATTGAATATAAAAAAATTGTTTTTTCTTTCAATACTCTTTTTTTCTATACGGTTAATATATCTTGAAACTTAAATTTAATTCTTAACACCGAATGTACCTAGTGTTTCTTTTAATTAATTTAATTAATTTACCGAATTCATTTAAACAAACTATTTATTTACAATATTTATATACAATATTTGCTATATACCTACAGTTAACCAAATGTCTTTTTAATTTAACCAAATTTTTTAATTGAATATTTTTATTCGAATGAACCAAATGCATTATTGCATTCAACTAAATTTTTTCGTTTATTTAACCTAGTATTTTTGTTCTGTGCAAAGAAAAAATTTATTTAAATAAAATAAAATATTTTATTAGGCTTTTTTAATCGGTTTAAATATAATATATTATGTTTTTGTTTATTTAAAAAACACCTAGTATTTTAACTTATTATTTTATTTTATTATACAGATTACAAATTAATTTATAATAAATAATATAAATGAAATATATTTCGTCCATCGTCGTTTACTTATAAAAATAATCACTGTGTTAAAAACATAATCACTACAAAACTAAAAAATTTAAAAAAAAACCTATAAATTCTTCTCATTGGTACAAATTAAATAGTACTTCTTATAATGAATATTTAATTGTAATTTTTACATTCATTCAAGTGACACTCATAATTTTGTTTTTTTGATTTGCATAATAAATTTGACGCAAAAGCGGACTTTAGACAAGTGAGACTGACATTTTTAAATCCTCACATGTTCTTTTTGAGTCAAGTAAATATTATTTTTAATTCAAATAAAATGATTTGATTATATGAAACAAATTCGTCTGTTGTGCCCAACAAATTGTATTTAACTGAACAATATTCTTTATTAAAAACACAAATTTGGTTAAATGAAACAAACAACTTCAAATAAAAATTTTCTTTCGGATAACCAAATAAATGTTACGTATTTATTAAAATGAACTAAATTTTTATTTGAATCAACAAAATTGTTTTATCGTAACAAATAAAATAGGTTAATTAAAGAGCAAGTAGTAAAGTATATTTCTAGTCAGGCCGTCTTTTTGACAATTGAATTTTTATCTTAAATAGTAAAATAAATTTTCTAAAATATGAAATTTCATTAAAATTGTGCATTTATTGAAGTATATAAAATACAAGCGTTTCGAAAAATACAGCAATATTTTTTTGCATATAATTACGCGCATTATGATGCGCTTCGAAGAAGATTAACAAAAAGAAAGCAGAAAATTTTTGTTTTTATTTTTAGGTACAAAATACAAAAAGCAGAGGATTCAGTTTCAAGTGAAATTTAATTTTTTTGCATCTAAAATAAATCAGTGAAAACACATTTTAGTTTTAAAAAATTAAACTGAAACTTTATAATACATATATATTATATATATGACGGGTTCCACGTCAAGTGACCAAGGTCAAAAATTTACATGGAATATTTGAAAAATTTGTAGTTTCTTTGAAACAAAACGAAAATACGTTTTCTATTTTGGGTTTTGCTGCTGTTTTTCAACACTTTCTAATAGTGTGAACGAATGTAGAAAAAAAAATTGTTTGACCTTGAAAAATTAAATTAAAAAATAAAATTTCATTTTTTATCAAATGGGCAGTTTTTATTTTTTTAAAAAAAATTTTATCATAAAGGTGCGGTTTCTTCCTAAAAAAAATGTATAGGTCAAAACGTGAAACAAGAACTTTTAACTGGTCAAATTAAGCATTTACATCTGCACTGCACCGGCCCACAGTGGAATTTTTTTTACAATTTAATATTAAAAAATGTCTATAGCTTACAATTTTTAACCGATTTGAGTGTTCTTTGTCTTAAATTAAAGGGGAATAATTTCTTAAGACATCCTTCGAGGCCGATTTTGGGGATTTTAATTATTTATAATTTTTTTTAAATCAAAGTTAACAAATTAATACACTTTTTTAAAAAAGAACGTTTATTTTCTTATTCCGTTGATGCACATGATCTAAATCAATTTAAATTCATCCAATATGACCAACAGATAATTAATAAAGCATAAAATAATTTATTTCAATTGTTATAAACAATATACAGCCCAACAACGCGCAGGGGCGGTGGATTGCAGAAGTAAATGTTTATTTTGACCAGTTAAAAGTTCTTGTCCCATGTTCTGACCTATACATTTTTTTTAGGAAAAAACCTCACCTTTATGATAAAATTTTTTTTAAAAAATAAAAACTGTCCATTTGATGAAAAAATGAAATTTTATTTTTTAATTTAATTTTTCAAGGTCAAAATTTTTTTTTTCTCTACATTTGTTCACACCATTAGGAAGTGTTGAAAAACAGCAGAAAAACCCAAAATAGAAAACGTATTTTCGTTTTGTTTTAAAGAAACTACAAATTTTTCAAATATTCCATGTTAGACCAAACATTTAAACTTTGACCCCCTCCAGTTTTTATATTTGTTTAAATAAATTAATAATATTTGGTATTTTTAATTGTATCTAATAGGACTACTGTTTGTGCAAACTTTTAACCCGATCCCAAACATTTAAAATTTGGACCTGGGTCACTTGACGTGGAACCCGTCATATAAAGATAACAAGAGGATAAATATAACATAAAAATGATTTGCTTCGTAGAAAATTATTTTATTCATATATAGCCTGAAGTCTGCTTTTTGTATTTTGTACCTAAAAATAAAAACAAAAATTATACATACATACATGTTCCTTCATCGCAGATCTGAAAAAAGGAGAGGAAAATGTTAACTAAAATTTAAAATAAATTTTTAAATATTGTTAAAATTGGTCTTTACTCCATCATAATCGCAAGGTTCTCCATTTTCAGCAACTATATATTCTTCGAGATTATTGGTTTTATTTATGCAGGTAGTTATGCATCCTTCATTAAACTGTAAAGAAGTTAGACAATACAAAAATTTAATACAGGCATATAGGATAAAATCTAATTATATATACAATTGCATATATCAGTTTGATACTAACATTTTCCACGAAACTCATGCTTATTTTTTTGCATTTTTCACTAGGATATTCAGGATTAATTTTGTTTGAGATAGTTGGAGGTGGAGTTGAAGTTGTAGTTGAAGTAGAAGTCGAAGTAGGAGTCGAAGTCGAACTTTGAGTTGAAGTTGAAGTTGTAGATGAAGTTGAAGTCGAACTTGAAGTAGAAGGTGGAATCGACGTTGAAGTTAAAGTTTGAGCTGTAGTTATGATTTTATAAATTGTAACTACCGGACCTTCTATCGTATTAATACACTCTCCTTCAGAACATAACTAAAAAAATAGAAAAGATTATGTAAAATAAATTTATAAAATATTTATTTTCATAATTTATTAATTAGATTTCTTTAATTATTTGTGTATTTAAAAATTTTGTGGTTAATATGTTATACAAATTACGTAAGTTTTTATTACATAAGTAATAAATTAGCAAGTGGATAAAATATTTAAAAAATACCTACTTATTATAAAATAAACACACTTTTTAAATTTTAATTAATTTAGAAAAATAATATTTCTTAGTAGCACAAAGTAATTTAATTCAATAAAAGAGTTAAACTCATTTTATTTGTATATTAATACTGCAAAATTTGAATTAAAAAAAAATTTATCACAAATTTAGAGAATAAGTTTAGAGTTACTATTCTCGCAAGCAAATATTAATATAATAATAAATTTTTTAAGTATTGTTAAAATTGATCTTTACTCCATTATTATTATTACAAGGGTATCCATCTTCAGCAATTAAAGTTTCTTCGAGCTTGTTGGTTTCATTTTTGCAGGAAGTTATGCATCCATAATTGATCTGTAAAGAAGTTAGAAAAAAATTAATTATTACAGCGTAGGAAAAAATCTAATTATACAAACAATTTGCATACATTAGTTTCATACTAACATTTTCCACTAAAATCATGTTCAGTTTTTTGCATTTTTCACTAGAAGATTCAGGTTTTAATTTGTTTAAGGTAGTTAGAGCTGGAGTTGTAATTGTAGTCGCACTCGAACTTAGAGTTGAAGTTAAAGTTGAAGGTAAATTTGTAGATAAAGTTGAAGGTGGAATCGAAGTTGAAGTTGGAGTTTGAGGTGAAGTTATGATTTTATGAATTGTGGCTACCGGACCCTCTACCGTATTAATACACTCTCCTTCAGAACATAACTAAAAAATAGAAAAGATTATGTAAAATTTATAAAATATTTATTTTTATAATTTATTACTTGTATTTTTTGAATTAATTGCGTATTTAAAAATTTTGCAGTTACAGTACCGTCCGAAATTGTCAGTCCGCCCATTTTTAAAAGAATGAAAAAAATTTTTTAACATAAAATTTATGAAAACTCAAATTTTTTTTGGTTTATATTTTGGAAGACGATAAAATTTTGAAAAGAATAAGACCTCACAAAAGTCATTTGGACAAAATTTGTAGAAGATATTCTTAAAAATCGTCATTTTCAATGTTTTACAAAAATTTCAATAACTTCTAAAATAATGAACTCTTTTTAATAATCTTAGGCTTATTTTAAAGGTCATTTTCTACGGAATAAGAATTACTTATAGGCATTAACCTGTAATTTTTTATTTGGAATCAGCATGACGTCAAAGTTGAACAAAAAAATTGGAAAATTTGAAATAAATTTTTTGTACTAAAAACTATTCTAGAACATATATAAAACATGATATGGTGTAGATTTTTCAAAAAAATTTAATAAAAAAATATGTTTGAATTTCAAAAATTATTTTTCTTTTAAAAATATTATTCCAAATTTTTTGAATTTCTTTGTTCAACTTTGACGTCATGCTTATTCCAAATAAAAAATTACAGGTTAATGCCTATAAGTAATTCTTATTCCGTAGAAAATGACCTTTAAAATAAGCCTAAGATTATTAAAAAGCGTTCATTATTTTAGAAGTTATTGAAATTTTTGTAAAACATTGAAAATTACGATTTTTAAGAATATCTTTTACAAATTTTGGCCAAATGACTTCTGTAAGGTCTTATTCTTTTCAAAATTTTATCTTCTTTTAAAATATAAACCAAAAAAAATTTTAGTTTTCATGAATTTTATGTTAAAAAATTTTTTTCATTCTTTTAAAAATGGGTGGACTGACAATTTCGGACGGTACTGTAATATAATAATAATTACGTACATTTCAATTACATATGATATCATGAAGTAATAAATAAACAAATGGATAACATATTTATAAAATAAGCACACTTATTAAATTTTAATTAATTTAGAAAAATAATATTTCTTAGTAGAACAAAGTAATTTAATTCAATGAAAGAGTTAAACTCATTTTATTTGCATATTAATACTGCAAAATTTGAATTAAAAAAAAATTATCACAAATTTAGAGAATAAGTTTAGAGTTACTATTCTCGCAAACAAATATTAATATAACAATAAATTTTTTAAGTATTGTTAAAATTGATCTTTACTCCATTATTATTATTACAAGGGTATCCATCTTCAGCAATTAAAGTTTCTTCGAGCTTGTTGGTTTCATTTTTGCAGGAAGTTATGCATCCATAATTGATCTGTAAAGAAGTTAGAAAAAAATTAATTATTACAGCGTAGGAAAAAATCTAATTATACAAACAATTTGCGTACATTAGTTTCATACTAACATTTTCCACAAAAATCATGTTCAGTTTTTTGCATTTTTCATTAGGAGATTCAGTTTTAAATTCTTTTAAGGTAGTCGGAGCTGAAGTTGAAGTTGTAGACGAAGTAGAAGTCGAAGTAGGAGTCGAAGTCGAACTTTGAGTTGAAGTTAAAGTTGCAGAAGAAGTCGAAGGTGAACCTGAAGTAGAAGGTGGAATCGAAGTTGTAGTCGAAGTAGGAGTTGAACTCGAATTTAGAGTTGAAGGTAAATTTGTAGATGAAGTTGAAGGTGGAATCGAAGTTGAAGTTGGAGTTTGAGGTGAAGTTATGATTTTATGAATTGTGGCTACCGGACCCTCTACCGTATTAATACACTCTCCTTCAGAACATAACTGAAAAATAGAAAAGTGTATGTAAAATTTATAAAATATTTATTTTTATAATTTATTAATGTATTTTTTGAATTAATTGCGTATTTGAAAATTTTGCAGTTAATATAATAAGAATTACATACATTTCAAATACATATGATATCATGAAGTAATAAATAAACAAATGGATAACATATTTATAAAATAAGCACACTTATTAAATTTTAATTAATTTAGAAAAATAATATTTCTTAGTAGCATAAAGTAATTTAATTCAATGAAAGAGTTAAACTCATTTTATTTGCATATTAATACTGCAAAATTTGAATTAAAAAAAAATTATCACAAATTTAGAGAATAAGTTTAGAGTTACTATTCTCGCAAACAAATATTAATATAACAATAAATTTTTTAAGTATTGTTAAAATTGATCTTTACTCCATTATTATTATTACAAGGGTATCCATCTTCAGCAATTAAAGTTTCTTCGAGCTTGTTGGTTTCATTTTTGCAGGAAGTTATGCATCCATAATTGATCTGTAAAGAAGTTAGAAAAAAATTAATTATTACAGCGTAGGAAAAAATCTAATTATACAAACAATTTGCGTACATTAGTTTCATACTAACATTTTCCACAAAAATCATGTTCAGTTTTTTGCATTTTTCATTAGGAGATTCAGTTTTAAATTCTTTTAAGGTAGTCGGAGCTGAAGTTGAAGTTGTAGACGAAGTAGAAGTCGAAGTAGGAGTCGAAGTCGAACTTTGAGTTGAAGTTAAAGTTGCAGAAGAAGTCGAAGGTGAACCTGAAGTAGAAGGTGGAATCGAAGTTGTAGTCGAAGTAGGAGTTGAACTCGAATTTAGAGTTGAAGGTAAATTTGTAGATGAAGTTGAAGGTGGAATCGAAGTTGAAGTTGGAGTTTGAGGTGAAGTTATGATTTTATGAATTGTGGCTACCGGACCCTCTACCGTATTAATACACTCTCCTTCAGAACATAACTGAAAAATAGAAAAGTGTATGTAAAATTTATAAAATATTTATTTTTATAATTTATTAATGTATTTTTTGAATTAATTGCGTATTTAAAAATTTTGCAGTTAATATAATAAGAATTACATACATTTCAAATACATATGATATCATGAAGTAATAAATAAACAAATGGATAACATATTTATAAAATAAGCACACTTATTAAATTTTAATTAATTTAGAAAAATAATATTTCTTAGTAGCATAAAGTAATTTAATTCATTTTATTTGTATATTAATTTTGCAAAATTTGAATTAAAAAAAAATTATCACAAATTTAGAAAATAAGTTTAGAGTTACTATTCTCGCAAATAAATATTAATATAATAATAAATTTTTTAAGTATTGTTAAAATTGATCTTTACTCCATTATTATTATTACAAGGGTATCCATCTTCAGCAATTAAAGTTTCTTCGAGCTTGTTGGTTTCATTTTTGCAGGAAGTTATGCATCCATAATTGATCTGTAAAGAAGTTAGAAAAAAATTAATTATTATAGCGTAGGAAAAAATCTAATTATACAAACAATTTGCATACATTAGTTTTATACTAACATTTTCCACGAAAATCATGTTCAGTTTTTTGCATTTTTCATTAGGAGATTCAGTTTTAAATTCTTTTAAGGTAGTTGGAGCTGAAGTTGAAGTTGTAGTTGAGGTCAAACTTAGAGTTGAAGTTGGAGTTGAACTTGAATTTATAGCTGTAGTTGTAGTTGTAGTTGTAAGAGTTGTAGTTACTGGATTTTTTATGTTATTATTAATACACATTCCTTCATGACAGAACTAAAAAATTGAAAAAATTATGTAAAATATATTGTAGGCAATATTTTATGTCAAAATGATACCTACTCCAGTTGTTTTGCAATTAGATCCATCTGTAGCGTAAACAATTTTTTTTAATTCGTAGCCTCTTTTATTGGATATGTCACTTTTCATTTCACAAACAAAAATGCAACCTTCGCTAACCTATAAAAACGAGAGAAAACAAAAATGAAGCATACGAAAAAAATCGAATTAGATATTTATAACATTGGATTTATTATATAATAGAACTAACTTCAAATGCCAAAGACATTCCATTCTCTTGACATTTTTCCCTGTTTAATTCCATCTGAAATATATGAAATAAAAAAAATTAATCATTTTATCAAGTTAATGTGATGACAATGATAATAATGATAGGGATGATAATATTATGACAATTATAATATATGCCACAATGAACAATATTTTTTACATTACTTATATTATTACATTTTTAGAAACAATAGGATGAAATGCTTCTAACAAACGATGAATTGATGTATTATTCAACTTAATGCACGATCCATCTAAACAGGACTAAAATATAGAAAAGATTATTTATAATTAATAATGAAATTCTAATTTAAATTCCTAATGTAAAAAATGATTCATACTCCATTGTTACTGCAAAAAAAACCATCATCAGTTTTCATTTTCGTAAAGTTATTAGCTTTTTGAAAGATATGTGTATTGAATTTGTAATTATTATTCCTTTTTTTACAAACAAAAGAGCATCCATCGTTCAACTATAAAGACAAGAGAAAATAAAAATGAGGCACACAGAAAATAAATAATCGAAATAGATAAAAAATAAAAAGATTAAATTTATAATCAATTTTATACTAACTCCAGATTCCCATGACATGCCAATCGTTTCACATTTTAAATTATAATAGTTTGACTGAAAGATGTAAATAATATATTATGAGTACTTATATAATGATTTCGTCAGGTAAATATATATAATGTCGATGATAATAAAATATAATGAAATTTCTTCTTTTTGTTCTAGAAAAATCATGAGAATATTAGTTAATAATCATTATATTACATTCGATCAATTTTTAAAACTTTGTCACCCATATTGGATCCGACATTTTGAATTTTCAAAAACGGATTTTAGATTCATAATCAACGACCCCAAAAAAACCCCATGTAACAAGTTTTAAGTGAATCCGATCAATTTTTAGAGATTCGTCCGCCATATTGGATCCGCCATTTTGAATTTTGAAAAACGGATTTTAGATTTATAATCAGCGACCCGAAAAACCACATGTAACAAGTTTCAAGTGAAGCCGATCAATTTTTAGTAATTCGTCCGCCATTTTGAATTTTGAAAAACTTATTTCAGATTCGTAATCAGTGACCCAAAAAATCCCTAAAAACAAAAGATGACAAAAATTGCACTTTTCTAAAAAAAAAGTCTGGCGTTACACAATAATAATAATAATAATAATAATAATAATAATAATAATAATAATAATAATAATAATAATAATAATAATAATAATAATAATAATAATAATAATAATAATAATAATAATAATAATAATAATAATAATAATAATAATAATAATAATAATAATAATAATAATAATAATAATAATAATAATAATCTATATATTTATAATTCTAATGTTATTAAAATTATGATTTTTAATTATAAAAAATATTTACCTTCACCATGCATGTAACTAATGCAGCAAGTGTAGAAAGTAGAAAATAGGCGTAAATCATTTTCTGTTCACTAGTACTTATTTTTGCAAATGCCACGTTGAAGAATGCCTTAAATTCTATAGAAACAAATAATTTTTTATTCTGAATGTCATTCTCAATGTCATCGCTAAAATAAAGTATATATATTAAAATTATCATAATATTTATATGAGCTACTAACCAATGAGAAATACTATATAGAATCACGTTAGTTTGGGAGAAATATAAAATAACTTTAATACTTAAAGATAAAAAAAATGTACACGTGCAACAAGAATGTATTTCAGTTTGATTACTTATGAAATAAAAATTAAGATTTTTAAATTTATGCGGTAAAAATACATGAAGAATGAAATAATGTATATGAAAGATTTTTTTTTTGGTTTATTTTTAAGAACGTTTTCAGATTAATTATTTCTAAAAATTTACGCTAGCTTTTAATATTCAATTACTATTTTAAATTTTAAATAATTGAACCTCTTAGAAGAATTTTATTATTTTTTAACAATATTTAATTTTTGCAAAGAATTTAATATAACTCTTGAAAATCATTGAATTTCTGCAATAATTTATAACTTTTCCAAAATATTTTTTGGAAATTTTTTTTCAGAATTTTCAAATTTATTTGATTACAATATTCAATTTTACAAACCCGCAATTAAACTTTTTCAAAAAAATTAATTCCACAGAATTGTTAGTTAAAAATATAAAAAATTAAAATTAAAATCTTTGAAAATCTGAATTTTTCATATATTTTTAACTAACAATTCTGTAGAATTAATTTTTTTGAGAAAGATTAATTGCGGATTTTTGTTTTTGAAATTATTTGAGGTTTTTATTTTCTAATATATAGATTTAATTGAAGAATTTAAGAAAAAGTGAAATTTTGTAAAATTTAATACTGTAAACAAATGAATTTGAAAATTCTCAAAGAACTTTTTTCAAAAATTATTGAAAAATAATGCATTTATGGAAGAACTTTAAGGGCCGTCCATAAACTACGTCACGCCTTAGAGGGGGGGGGGTGGAATTCATTTTTTGTGACGTTCTGTAGAAAAAATGGCGCTAAAGCATGTAAAATTTGTGACGTGGGTAGGGGGGGGGTGGAAAAATTAGGCAAAATAGTGTGACGTAGTTTATGAACGGCCCCTTAGTTGAAAACTAAAATTTTAACTAAAATTAATTTTTAAATCAATTTTTATTAGAGAATTCTACTAGAATTCAATTATGTAAATAGAAAAATAAATAATCTATCGAATAATTGAATGTTTCTTTAAATTGAATTCTTTTGACAAATTTTAATATAATTTTTAATGAACAATTGAATTCTTCAAAGAATACTTTTAAAATTTATTAAAAAGAATTGAAATTCTTCAATAAGTTTTATTATTTATGAAAATAATTGAATGATTGCGATGAATTTTATAAAAAAATTTATAAATAATTGAATTTTTGTAAAATTTTTATTAATTTATGAAAATAATTAAAGGTTTTGCGTAGAATTTTATAAAATTTTTTTTTAAAAATTGAATTCTTTTGAAAAATTGTATTAAAATGGATATTAAAAATCATTGAATTGAGGGAAATTTTTGAAAATAATTGAAATTTTGCCAAGAATTTTATTAAAATTTTTGAAAATAATTGAATTCCAGAGAACAATTTAATTATTTTGTTCGCAGTTTTAAAGAATAATTTTTTCAATTATCAATTATTTTTATAAATTATTATTTAAATTCTTCTAAGGAATTCAATTATTTTTAAAAATAATAAAATTCTTCTAAAAGTTTTCAATTATTTTCAAAAATTGTTATAAAATCCTTGAAAATAATAAATTTCTGTAAAATTTTAATTAAATTCCTTCAAAGAAATTAATTATTTTCAAAAGTTGTTAATCCTAATGCGTGTCACTTTTTTCTCCACGCAGGGCTCGAACTAGGTCCGTAAATCCCATAAAAGTCCATAACTTTGCTTGAAGTCCGTAAAAGTCCGTTTTTTTAAAATAGTCCGTAAAGTCCTTAATTTGATTGAAAAAGGTCCGTAAAGTCCGTAAATTGTACGATATAATTTAGATAATTTTAGAGAAATTTCAAATCATTGTAGGAATTCAATTACATATTTTCAAAAGTAATCAAATTCTTCCCAAAAATTAAATTATGTTCAAAAATTTTTAAAAATTCTTGTAAAAATTTCAATTATCTTTAGAAATAATTAAATTCTTCTCCGAAATTCAATTGTTTTTAAAAATTTTAATAAAATTTTTGGCAAAATTTCAATTATTTTAAAAAATTTTTTCTCAATTCAATGATTTTTAATATCCACTATTTCAATAAAATCTTTCAAAAGAATTCAATTATTTAAAAAATTGTTGATTAAATTCTTTGGGAAAATTCAATTTTAAGAACCATTCAATTATTTAATAAAATATTTATTTTTGTATTTAAATAATTGAATTCTTGTAGAATTTTCTAATAAAAATTTATTTTCATTCCATAAAAATGAATTTCAGTGAAAATTTTAGATTATAATTGAATATTAAAAACATTAGAGCGCAAATTTTTAGAAATAATTGAATTTTGAAAAGGTTTCAGATTAAAATCTTTGAAAATTTGAATTTTTCATACATTTAACTAACAATTTTTTGGAATTAACTTTTTTTTGAGAAAGTTTAATTGCTGATTTTTTATATTATTTGAATTTTTTTAAAATTTTTGAAAATAATAATTGAATTGACAATGATTTTATCACTCGGTCATCTTTAATTATTACAAAATATAAAGAAATCGATCACTCCGAGTCAAAGACTCGGAGTTATTGATATCTTCATGTTTTATAGTTATGAAAAATTTAATTAAAATATTTTTTTATTTGACTCGGACTGGTTATATTTTTGTCAGCACTTGGTCCGTAAATGGTCCGTAATTTTTGTCATTTTTGGTCCGTAAAGTCTGTATTTTTAAATACTTTCACTGGTTCGAACCCTGTCTACAGAATAATATTCCGAAAGGTTTAAAGAATATGTAGAATTTTTTTTTTCAAATAAAAATTTTATTGGTAAAGAGGTTTTTTTTACATATTCTTTATAAACAAACAATTTTTTTGTTTATTAAAATTTAATATCTTTAAACAAAATAATTTTTATTTGAAAGTTGGATTCAAGTCAAAAATAATACCGGTTGAAATCAGAATCATTGAAATCGGCTAAAAAGTTTTTCTAAAATTAATTTTCTAAAAAAAGTAATAAAAATTTTCAATTGTTAAATAAATTTTGTCTTTGCAAAATTCTTTTAGATAGTTATTTTTTATATAAAATGCTATCAGGAGAATTAATATTTAGGAAAAAATAAAAATTTTTATTGTCACGTTTCAGAAATTCTGACTTTAATTTTAAATTAAACAAAGACTGTCTTAAAAATATGTTGCATCTTAAATTAAGGCTTAATTAAATTTCTCATGGCTGAAAATAAGACTTTTTTTTTACTGTGGTAGCTGTAGAAACATTTCACCATAAACAAGATCGAATTTGTCTCGAAGAGGGAAATGAATCACGAATGTTGAAAAAAAAATAAATAAAATATACAGAGAGAGAGAGAGAGAAGAAAAAGATTTCGCTCTGTTAAAATTGACGTCATACAACTACCTGCCCGATTCTACATAAGTGACGTCTCTCCACGTGCCGCAACGCATAAAGTAACCACCATTAACAGACCATAAATTCCATTTGGCGCTGCGCGTTATGCCGGCCCAATGTTATGTATGAGCGTCGTTAGTGTTAATAGAGTGTTAACTGCTTCTATATACCCAGCTCGATTCTGCGTTCAAGTAGGTGTGTTGGGATTTCGCTTTAGGATTCTGGCAATGGGTTTGCGTGTGGCTACTATATACTAGTAACACCGTTCTGCTGTTTTGCATAGAGAAGTCATCAATTTTCAGCATTACTCACCCCCCCCCCCATCACCTACTGTTCTTCATTCCTCCCACTCTCACGTCTCCGCATATAACGCACGGGATGCACAACTCTCCCCCCCCTGCACATAGTAGTCGGTGCAAACTACAATCATCCACCCGAAACCACCCCCCCCCCTTTTGACCACGCGGTCCCATTCGCTCCGCAACAATCCCACTCGACTGCTTTACGTAATACAATTCATATCGAAGATAATTGAATGCCTCCTGAATGTGTGCATATATATATATATAGTCTCCCCTGTGTTTACAGGCGACGCATTTCCATTGTCCTATACACTACCAGGACGATTTAATTAATTCCTACGTTGACGATTCGCTCTTGACCAATAATACATTTGGGAATTTAGTTTTTGAATTGCTTTTGTATATATGAATTTGAATATTCATTTAAAATCGAATCATATATTTTTTTAGGGAAAGGAGAATTTGTTATGCGAATATTATTTTCAACTTGTTCTTGATTTTTTTTTATTCGATTCAATATTTTAAAGAGTTCAATTCGTTTACCTCGATACTTCGATTATTCGAAACTTCAATAATTCAATACTATTTTAATTTAAATAATAATTTAAAAAATCGTTTTTTATTTTTTTTAATTTAATTCAATTGTTTTAATTCCAGTTCTTCAATAACTAAATTCAACTTATTCGATATAATTATAAACTCTTTCATTCGATGAATTTCATATTTTAATTATTAATTCAAATTTTTTTCTTTCTTTAAATATGCTCTTAATTTGAATATTGAAATAAATTATTTCAATATTTCAATTCGTAATTCAATTTGTTATTTGGTTTCAATTTTAAACATCAATTATTTTGTATTGATCAATTTTATTCAAATTAACAATTCAATTATGACCAAAGGTCAGGGAATTTAGGGAAAAGTCAGGGATCTTTAGTAAAAGTAACTGGATAAAATTAAATGTTTAAAATTCATAAGAAAACTATGAATTTTTTTTGTCTATTTTGTTTGCCTTATAAACTAGAAAATCACTACAAATTCTAATATTATGTAAAACATTCAAATTTTTTTCTACTTCTGACAATAATTTATTTTTAAATATAACTTGAAGAACTATATCATAAAATTATTACTTAA